ATATTTTCACCATTTATCTATTAGGGAATGGTTTTTGTTCTTATATATTTGAATGCTCTTTGTATTACTTAGCCATCAGATCTTTACTAGAGAAATTTGCTACAAAGATTTTTCCCAGTTAAATATATTCCTTCTAATTTTAGCTGCACTGATTTTGAGCAAAAGCTTTTCAATTTTATATAATTAAAATTATTAATATATCTTTTTTGATATTTTACCCTATCCATAGCTGTAAAAGGCATATTCTTTTTTTCTCCTCTAATTTGCTTGATTGAAACCAGAGTCATGTTTTCCATTTGAAGCATGTGATGTGAGATGTTCTAAATTTAATTTCTTCCTGGTAGCATTCCAGTTTTCCCACAAATTTTTGTTGAATAGTGAGTCCTTGCTCCAGTATTGGTATATTTGGAGTTATAGAATACTATGTTTCTATGCTTGATTATTTCTGGGTCATGTATACTTAATCTGCCCCACTGATCAATTTTTCTACTTTTTAACCAGTACCATACTGCTAGGACTCCTTCCTTTCCACTTTTTTTTTCATTATTTCCCTTGAGATTCTTGATCTTTTGTTCGTCAAGGTTTAATCTTGTTGTTTTTCCTGCTGCTATAAAGTAATCCTTTGATTATGACATTGAATAAGTAAATTTATTTAGTACTATCATTTTTATTATATTAACACAGCCCAGCCATGAGAAATTTATCTCTCTTTACTGAAGTATGCCTTCTTTCTGGAATAAGTGTTTCATATTTGTATTCATATAATTCCTGTGTATCATGTATCTCTTGACATGTGGGCTTGACAATATTTTACAAATTTTGTAACTATTTGGAATGGAATTTCCTACTGGAATTTGTTGGCAATATACAGAAAAGCCAATGATGTGTGTGGATTTATTTTACATTGTGGTACTTTGCTGAAGTTGTTTCAATTAATTTTTGGTTGCATCCCCAGAGTTCTCTATCATATTACTTGCAGAAAAAGCAAAAATGTTGCTATTTTTTTTTCCTATGCTTATTCCCTCAATTACATCTTCTTGTCTTGGTGGGTTTTGTTTAACTTTGATGGCTTTCTACTCCACTCAGGACCTCTCATCTTCTCGTTAGAAGATGTTTCTTATCCCAAGGCATCCTGGCCTAGGTAGATCAAACAAGTTTTCCAAGGGGAATGTGTCCCTGCCCTAACACATTTTGGGAATATGGCAGATTTCTGAAAAGATTCTTTGGAAATATATAAAAGTAAATAGACCAAAAATAAAAGGTTAGTGTCAAATAACTGATAAACTGTTAGTGATATTTTAGATGTTGAAATTTAAATAATTACAAAGTATTTTAACTTTTTCTTGTTTAAAGTTAAGTTCAGAAAAGTTTATCACTAAATTGGAAACAAAACGTTTACTTTTTCAGCCATAAGTACTCTCAAAGACCTTGTTGTTGTACCAAGAAATCAGAGAGTGAGATCCAGGCGTAATTTAAGATGTGGATTTATTAGCACACGACTGCCAGGGGTATTTACATCCAAATCAAGCAGCAGTCATCAGGGGTCAAGCTAGGGTTTATATAGAAAAGAGCATGGGAAAGAAATGCGAGGAACACTGATGAGGTAATCCAAAGATGCAGGTGTCTTTGGGGCTATGGATGGGAAAGTACAGGGAGTATACAGGACAGGGAGGGGGATGGATCTTTGAAGTCTGGCAAGAGGAAGAGTTCTTGGGCTGGTCAAGGACACCCCTCTCCCTCTGTCTTGATGAGAGAATGCTCTGCAACAAGGGAAAGCTTTCTCACAACACAGGAACTTACTGAGGAATTGGGAGGCTTCCAGAGACATGATCCGAGGCTGGGGCCTGAGCAGCCCAGCTCTGTGTAGCTGTACCAGGGAGAGAGATAAGGGTCATGCTGAAGCCCATGCATGAATAACTGCTAGGCACAGTGTCCTTGGGCTGGGGAATGGTTGTTAGAGACAGTGTTTCTGAGACTAGGGAGAAATTGGGGCACAAGTACAAGCACAAGCACCCAAGTACCCCATTATTATGGATCAGAGATCACACAAACCAGACCAGGTGTCCTGGTCTCTGGTATAAACATAATTATCTAAAGCAATTATATTGCAAGCTTTCTTATCCATTTGCGTTGGAGGTACGGGCTATGCTGAGCTATGCAAGAGTACATTTCACTATTGTTTAGATTTAGGAAGAAAGAGGTCTGGGGCGAGATTAAGCACCAACTTTTGCTTTCCATGGCTTAAAGGGCCCTACTACCTAAATGGCAAAATAATGTTCTGTATTACACTTATGATTAAATAAATCATAAAGGATTCATGATCTTTATACAAAGAATGTACCTATAACTAAGTTTGGGTCATTGAAGATTTCCAAAATAATTTAACAGTTTAAACGTTTTTTCTTAAATTCTTTTAGCCATATTAAACATTTACAATTTTACAGTTTGGTTTGGTGGATGGACTACTGAGCTTGGAGTCAGAAGTTACACCTCAAAAGGTTATTAGTTATCTGACCCTTGGCAAGTCACCTAACCTCTGTGTATCTCAGTAATCTCCCTAGGCCTTAGCTCTTATTTACTGTGTCATAGATGTGTTGTTCTGTATCAGGGGATAGAGTTCCCACATAGGTAGTTTTCTACACTGATGAAATTATAGAACCTTCACTTATTCATGTAAAAAAAAACCAAACCCTTAAAATAGTTTGTTGTTATAACTAAATATGATGCAATGGATACCAGTGCTCCAATTCTCCAGTGGAATTGTGATCTCATTGATTAGAATATCACCTCTCCCTGTTATGCCATCACAAGTCATCTATACCTACTCATTTCATGCAACACTTGTTCATGTCCTCCCATAAATTTACTATGAGGTCCAAGCAAATGCAAGGGGCTTTCCTTTGTTCTCCTAAGATTAAAAAAAAAAAAGATGCTAATGGAGCATGCAGGCTGCTCATAAATTATTCCTCATTCTCACCCTATGACCAGCCTATTTTATGGACTGATCCAATGTTTCTTTATCCTTTACACCATTTCTTCTCATTAACTTTATTTATAATGTATTGAAGCCTATTTGTGCCCAACATGCACTTCTGCATTGTCCTTTGGATGATCCTCTAGTTCAGTCCTCCAGATACTGAAGTTTTTTTTGACTCACAGCCATACAACATCACCAGAAGAATATGACATTAAAAGATGGAACTTTGTTTCAGGGAGAAGCTCAGATCATTAAAAAAACTTTACCCGAAGGGAATCTAATCCAATCCCTTCCTCTGAGACTGAATATAACTAATTTGTAAAATTTTACAGAGAATGGTGACAGAAAATCACAAGCAGTATTGCCTCACAAAACAGTGAAAAGCAGTGAAAGGAAAAAGAACTTTTTACAAAAACATGACAGGAGACTAAATGAGGTGAAGTCATTGCATGTGCCTTTAAGGAGGAAACTGGGACAACAGCAAACAGAAGAAAAATGGAAAAGATATGCAAAGAATTTATGACAAATTCCTCTCACCATCAAAGCCAGTAAGTTGTAACAATTGAATTCTAACATTAGTGTCCCAGATGTTGAATTGGAAGAAGTGGAAAAAATGCTGAAGAAAGAAAAGATGGGAAAGCAGTTGAACTAGGGCAGATAAACAGAGATGAGGTCTGGATACAACATAGTTGTGAGAATATTGAAGCATTGTTTATTTATCTAGGTAAATGGAAAGGAATATACAAAAAAATTTTTTTAAACCTTCCATATTTTATTATTTATAAACATCATCAACTTTTTATCCATATAAAAATTTTACCAGTGTGATCTCCACATGCATCAGGACATTCTCGATGAGGCTATTAGAAGGGAACAGGAAAAAGGTACCTGAGAGAAAAAAAAAGTCTCCTGGGTGTTGTTTAAAAATTTTAAATTCATCATTCTTGAAAAAAATTCTAACTGTACATTTTCCTGTTTTATTATTTTTATTGCATTTCTATTCTAATAGTAAATATATTTGATAGTAAATACTTGATAGTTTATGATGACTAATGGAAGCAGCTTGGTAAAGTGGATAGAGAGCTGTCCTTACAGAAAGGAAAGACTGGTTCAAGTCTTGCCGGACACACACTGACAAGTCGTTTAACTAATTGTTCTAAGACAAGTTTCAAAGAAGCTGCCAACCTACATTGGTGAAGAGAGTTCACTGTAGCAATGAAATCATTAATCAAGAACCCATCCATTTTCTGAATAAAAATGCCATGTTGAGAATCAATAGTTTTAATTATCTGAAAAAAAATCCTGTAGATAGTATATTTTACAGACTAACATTTTAACATTGAGTAATTATTTATTACAGTGATAATCACACCATTTGTATTTTAATGTTTTCAAACTGTGTTGCCCTCTTCCCCGTTCTTTCTGCATCTGTTGAGCATCTTCACTCACATTTGTTAAATACGCATTTATTAAGCACCTAGCACTGGGGATACAAAAAGAGGCATTAGGCTGACCCGGCCCTCAAGGAATTTGCAATCTAACGGACCCAAGGGCATACAAGGTGGCAAGCTGGCATTTGGGACCGAGTCTACCGCCCGGTCAGACTAAAATGTAGCTGACAATGCTTTTCGGTGGCGCGCTACGGGTTCAGGTGGAACGGAGAACTTCAAATCAACCGCGCAGACAAATGAGCACGGCAAGGCCTGCCCAGACCCCTAACCCCCAGCCAGGCACCGGCTGCGCATGCGCTTCAGAAAAACCGCCGCCTTGCCGAGACAGGTGAGTAGTCCTCCGGTTCTCCTAGAGAGTAACGGGAAGTGTCACGGTGAGAAGGTGGGGGTAGGGTGCGCGTGAGGCGGGGAGCCAAACTTCCTGTCTGGCCTTCTTTGGTTGCTCCGCTGGATTGCAAAGAGTGCTCCTGCTTCTCTGCCCCTGCAGGGATGCCCCGGGGTCAGTGTCCCTTTTCTCCCTTCCCCGAGGATCGGGGATCCCTCAGGCTGCCGGGGGCAGAGCAGCGGTAGGAACTACAGGCAGGCGGCTCGGGGAAGGAAGGCCCGTGCCAGCCGGGTGCCCGCTCAGCCCTGGCCCCCGGTCTTCCGCCTGGTGCGGGAGGGGCGGGGCGGAAGGGGGCAGGGCCATCCCGCTTCTGGCTCCGTCCGTCCGTTTCCTCCACCTGTTGGCTCTTAGGAGGTGAGTGAGTCTGTGTGACCCCGGCGGAGGCATCGGGAAATGGAGCTGCAGCGCCTTCTCATTTCCCCTCCCCCAGGTATAAAATAAGGCATCTACTTTAAATAAATGTTACCCAGAATGTGTATATTACATACAATGAGAGACCAAGCGTGCAGAGGAAAAAAACCTGTCAAAGAATATTAACTGAACTGGTAGGGGATGAGAGAAATTATTATTAATAACCAATGATTTGGGGAGATCCAGAGGGCCCTCCACCCCGTTTTCCTAAGTCTTGATTTTTTTAAAGTTCTATCTCTTGAAGGACTTTGCTGATAATGAGACTGGACTTTCTGGTTCAGACCCTATCCAGCCCTAGAGTTCTGCTGAGGCTTGGGTAGAGCATAAATTATTTGATTAGATTACCTAAGGTTGAGGGGGTGGGGGACACTTAGAAATGCATGACATAATCAGAGTTCAGGTCCAGCCCTCCACTGTAATGTTCATTCCCTCATCAGTTGTTAACCAATTAGAGTTGATTGCTACTCCTCTTCCAAAAGGGCTTGTAAACCTATGAGCCTACCACCATGGATGAGTCTTTGAGAGAAATGGCCAAATGATTATTCATTTACCAAAATGCTGGCATTATTAATAAAAACTATTAAATTACCTAGAAATTATGTCTCTGGAACCTTGTTAAACCTCACAGGAAGTGAAAGGTTATCCTCCTTCCCCCTTTTTAATTTTTAAAAAAATTTTAGGCTTAAATACTGAAACTTACACACATTAGAGAAATGAAAAAGAAGCGTATTATAAACTTAAATACAAAATAATAGAAGCAAAAAAAACATGTCATGTGCACAGCAAAAGGTAAGCGTTGATTGAAAATATATAGCAATAAATTTACATTTCAGGAAAGCCTATCTAATAAATAAGACGTGTTGAGGGCTGTCCATCCTTTCTTTGCTTCCTTATAAGTTTTCTTTTGTTCTTTGCTGTGCACTCTTTACTTTTTTTTCCCCCTTCCTCCCCCCACTCCCCATATAATTGAGGAAACGCAAACATGATCACACAGCTCGTGTTTGAGGATGGATTTGAACTCAAGTCCCCTGGACTCCAGGCCTTGTACCACCTATCTGTCCCTGTGGAGCCACTGACACTTCTTGAACAAGGCAATAACACAGTCAGATTACACTTTAGGAATAACATTCCACAAAATATGTATGGAGGGGAGAGGCAGGCTGGCCAATTAGGAGGCTATGTAAATAGAGAGGAGACAGATGTGAGAGATGTTAGGGAGGTAAAATTGATAATAGTTGGCAATTGATTGAATATAAGCAATAAGTGAGAATAGTGACTAGAATGTGGCTTCTAGATTGCAAAACTAGGTGACTGAACCTAGTTTAAATAACTGAACTTTTTAAAGAATGGGTACATTTGAAAGTGTTTATAGAAAGCAGGGGAAAAGCTAGTAGATTAGTAGAGTTTGACAATTAGGGAGAAAGGAAGGGAGAGGATCAAGGACTAGAATAGAAGAGTTGTCATTGCCAAGGAGAAGGTCATCTTAGGGTCAAAGTAAAGAAGGAGAAAATCAGGATGGTGTTTAGAAGGTTTGAGGTATAAAAAGGGAGAGAGGAGGATGCTGGATGGCCTTAAGTTTTTCAGTAAACACAAAGTACAAAACAAGGTCTTCTGAGAGGGTGGAGGGAGGGGCGCTGTGGGAGGCTTGAGGAGGGAAGAGAAGGTTTGGTCTGTAGAGGATGGGATAAGGACTAAGGGAAATGTAAAGGGATTGCCTGGCTTCAATGAGGGCCCAATTAAGATTAGATTACATAAATTCATAATGGACCTAGTAGGCTGGAATGTGGGACTTCTTTTCAGTGGCATTCAGTAGTAATTAAGTGGAAGTGGAGTAGGCTGATAGCTGTGTTTTGGAAAGAGATGAGCAGCAATAAGACAAGGGATTCAAAGGTAGATGACCATATAAAGTTGGACCATATAAAGTCTATCTTATTTTACAGATGAGGAAACTGAAGCTTAAGTCATTTTATAGTTTTCATTTGTTGAGATGGTTATATATATTTTTTTCTCTTTGTCTTCATCTCTGCCTTCTTTACTTAAGCTTAGATAATTTACATTACCCAAGAATCCAAAGTGGAATTTCCAGGTCTGAGCTCTGCATCCCATTCCCAGGAGGGTTGCTTATGATGGCCAGGAAGTTCAGAGCTGTTATTGATCCATCTCATCAACTAACTCCCAAAGGAACAAAATGGGGCTCTTGGTCAGCACACCTCTTATAACATGAGCATATTTCCATGCTGTGAGGTGTTCAGGTTGCCCAAAGAGCAGTTTGTGACCATTCTGCCCCAGGAAATCCTAAACTGGATCCAGGTATGTGTTGTGGAGAGCAGAGAAATATTGGGGGGGGGGGGTTTACGAAGAAAGGAAGAGAATGTTCGAGAGAAGATGGAAAATGTGAAAGGGAGCATACCGAATAGAGATATACATCAAGTAAAGGGCTTAAGGTAATAGGGAGAAAAAAGTGGGAAGAAGGAAAAAACCTGTGTTGTTCCTTCTGTTGCCCTTTTCTTCTGGTGCATTATAAAATTAACATCTGGTGATTATTATCCAAGTCAAGCTTCAGGTAAGGCTGAGACACTGTCTTTAGAAATCAGCTGATTTGTCATTTTAAGTAATTTAATATCTCTTGCAATGAGAATTACAGGAATCCTGTATCTCTGTTCTTATGTTTGGGGATTTTTTTTTTATTGTGTTTCTATTATATTATGAAATCCTGATTCCTCTTCCTTTCACCTCATGTTTTTAGGGGATGATTCTATTAGTTATACTTTGAGGTTTGGCTCCTGTTTTTCCAGAACCCTTTTTTCTTTTTTTTTTAAATTTATTTCTACTTTATTTTTATTTTTTATATATTTTTAAAAATTTATTTATTTTTAGTTTTCGATATTTACTTCCACAAGATTTTGAGTTCTAAATTTTCACCCCATCTTGCCCCTCCCCCCTCCCAAAGATGGCATGCATTCTGAATATCCCTTCCCCTAATCTGTCCTCCCTTCTATCTCTCCCCTGCTTCTCTTATCCCCTTCCCCTTCTATTTTTCTGTAGGGCAGGATAGATTTCTGTACCCCATTTCCTATATTTCTTATTTCCCAGTTGCATGTGAAAACAATTTTTTTTAAACATGTGTTTTTAAAACTTTGGGTTCCAAATTTTCTCCCTTCCTCCCTCCCCACCCACCCTCATTGAAAAGGCAAGCAACTCAATATAGGTTATACATGTGCAGTTATGCAAAACACTTCCATAGTAGTCATGTTGTGAAAAACTAATTCTATTTCCCTTAATCCTATCCTCCCTCCATTTATTCTATTCTTTCTTTTGACCTGTCCCTCCTCAGAAGTTTGCTTCTGATTACCCCTTTCCCAATCTGCCCTCCTCTCTATCATCCCCTCTCTCTTGTCCCCTTCTCCCCCTATTTTCCTGCAGGGTAAGACAGATTTCCATACCCAATTGATGTGTATGTTATTCCCTCCTTAAGCCAAATCCTATGAGAATAAGATTCACTCATTCCCTCTCACCTTCCCCTGTTTCCCCTCCACTGTAAGAGCCTTTTCTTTTTTTTTTTTTGTGAGATAATTTACCCATTCTACCTCTCCCTTTCTCTTCTCCAGTAAATCCTCTCTCCCCTTAATTTTATTTTCCAGATATGACCCCTTCATCTTCAACTCACCCTGTGTCCTCTATTTCTATATCTATATCTATATATACATACATATAATTTTTTCCTTCCAACTACTCTAATACTGACAAAGGTCTCATGAGTCATAAATACCATCTTTCCATGCAGGAATGTAAACAGTTCAACCTTAATAAGTCTCTTATGATTTCTCTTTCCTGTTTACCTCTTCATGTTCCACTTGAGTCTTGTATTTGAAAGTCAAATTTTCTATTCAGCTCTGGTCTTTTCATCAAGAATGCTTGAAAGTCCTCTATTTCACTGAATGACCATTTTTTCCCCTGAAGGATTATACTCAGTTTTGCTGGGTAGGTGATTCTTGGTTGTAATCCTATCTCCTTTGCCCTCCAGAATATTATATTCCATGCCCTGCGGTGCCTTAATGTAGAAGCTGCTAAATCTTGTGTTATCCTGATTGTGTTTCCACAATACTTGAATTGTTTCTTTCTGGCAGCTTGTAATATTTTCTCCTTGACCTGGGAACTCTGGAATTTGGCTACAATATTCCTAGGAGTTTTCCTTTGGGGATCTCTTTCAGGAGGAGATCAGTGGATTCTTTCAATTTCTATTTTGCCCTCTGGTTCTAAAATATCAGGGCAGTTTTCCTTGATAATTTCTTGAAAGATGATGTCTAGGCTCTTTTTTTGATCATGGCTTTCAGATAGTCCAATAATTTTTAAATTCTCTGTCCTGGGTCTATTTTCCAGGTCAGTTGTTTTTCCAATGAGATATTTCACATTGTTTTCTAATTTTTCATTCTTTTGGATTTGTTTTACAGTGTCTTGATTTCTCATAAAGTCACTAGCTTCCAATTGCTCTATTCTAATTTTTAAGGAAGTATTTTCTTCAGTAAGCTTTTGGACTTCCTTTTCCATTTGGCCAATTTTCTTTTTAGGGCATTTTCTCCTCATTGGCTTTTTGGACCTCTTTTGCCATTTGGGTTAGGCTATTTTTTAAGGTGTTATTTTCTTCAGTATTTTTTTGGGTCTCCTTTAGCAAGCTGTTGACTTGTTTTTCATGATTTTCTTGCATCTCATTTCTCTTCCAGTTTTTCCTCTACTTCTCTTACTTGCTTCTCAAAATCCTTTTTGAGTTCTTCCAAAGCCTGGGACTGATTCATATTTTTCTTGGAGGCTTTAGATGGAGGAGCTTTGGCTTTGTCTTCTTCTGGTTGTATGTTTTGATCTTCTTTGTTACCAAAAGAAGATTCTATGGTCTGACACTTCTTGTGAGGTTTGCTCATGATACCAGCCAATTACTTGAGTTTCAA